GATTCTCAGTTTTTTGGATAAAATCAAAAAGATAAACTTTGGTGAAAGAAGGCACACAAAAAGAGAAGAGAAGAGAGGGAGAGAAAAAAAGAAAAGCAGAGAGGTTTCACGTTCAGGTTCAGTTTCACTTTCACGAGCCTATCACCGACCCTCTGCTCCTGCAACTTCCTACTTAAACCACTGCCAACTCTGAAAGAAAGAATAAAATATCCCCATTTAGTTTGGTTGGTGAAAGTTGAAACCTTTTCACGGGCTCAAGTAGCAGCTTTGCCTTGTTTTATTTTTGTCAGCCACTACCCTGGTTTTGTTTTTCAAAGATCTGATCTGGGTTTTGGATGTTTCAATGTGAGAGCTAAGATTTTGCTGTTGGGGTGTTGTTGTTTTGGTGCATAGTGATAGAAAAAGTAAAGGTGGGATTTGTAAAGGGGTGGAGATGGATCGTTCTGCGATGACTGTTGGGCCAGGAATGGATATGCCAATCATGCATGACAGTGATAGGTATGAGCTGGTCCGTGATATTGGGTCGGGGAATTTTGGGGTGGCTAGGCTCATGAGGGACAAGCACACTGAGGAGCTTGTTGCTGTGAAGTATATTGAGAGAGGTGAAAAGGTTTGTTTTCCATTATAGCTAAATTTTTTCTTTTTTTGTTCTTTTTTCGTGAATTAAGCTTTCCTTTTCTCTTTATTGTGCTTGTAAAGTTTTGGTTTGGGTGGGGGATTTTGGCAACTGAAGTCTGTAGGTTATGATTTGATTGATTGGGTTCTTTGTTGGAAATGGTGCTACTGGTGGTGGTGGGTGCTTTGGTTTTCAGTTGGATGGTGCTAAAAGAGATGTTGGGGATTGATAGGGGTGTACATCTGGATTTCAGTCTGTTCAGAATTGGGATGTGTACGTGCTGCCTAATCTAATTGTATGCAGGTTTTGCTGTTCTTGTGTTTGGATGGAATTTGCAGCCTTTGGAAATATGAACCAAGATTTTGCTTTCATCTTCTACCTATAAAAGTTAAGCTTAGTGGTGCCCCCATGTCTCTTTTGGCAATTAACTCTTACTGTTTTCAAACGCACATTATAAGTGTTGTTTTTGGTTCTAAATGTTGGCTGCAGTGGTTCAATTGAAAGTGCAAATGCTACAGTGTGCTTGATAGCAGACTTTCTTAACTAATGTTATAGCTGCCTTAAACCCTCGACACTTGTTTGTTTGACAAGCCACAAGTACAACAGCATTCCCACCTAAGATGAAGCTTATCTAGAGTTTGTGTCAATCTAAGTTATGCAGTAGAGTTAAATAAAGTTTGAAAGGGATAGTGTTGCATGCATGTGGTTTTCCCTGCATTACATTAAGCTTAATCATGTTTTTTTCTTAACAGATAGATGAAAATGTACGAAGGGAAATTATAAATCATAGATCATTGAGGCATCCCAATATTGTCAGGTTCAAGGAGGTTTGTTCTCTTAACTCTGTACACGTCCAAAGTCTTGGCCTATTTCTTCCTAATTGTACCTAAGGCGTATTTTAATCAGTTCTCATGCTCCGAAAGTATAGGTCATACTAACCCCTACACATTTGGCTATTGTGATGGAATATGCCTCTGGAGGAGAATTATTTGAACGGATTTGCAAAGCAGGAAGATTTGGTGAAGATGAGGTTCTAATCTTTTCCAATCAAGCATTCTTTCCAGTGTTGTTGCAGTTACCATTTACCCTTAATGCCTATTATGTTTTGCTGCAGGCACGCTTCTTCTTCCAACAACTTATATCAGGGGTTAGCTTCTGTCATGCAATGGTACGTAAGTTTGGCAATTTTAGTTTTTACTTTCTCATTAGTGCATTTTCAGCTGAAAGATACAGTAAATTGTCATACTTGAATGTCTCTATTTATCTTCTTTAATAAAGCAAGTATGCCATCGTGACTTAAAGTTGGAGAACACATTGTTGGATGGTAGTCCAGCTCCTCGTTTGAAGATTTGTGATTTTGGGTATTCGAAGGTACTTTTCTTTCTTTGCATTTACAATACATGAATTCCAGATTGATATTTGCACTGGGTACTGTTTGGGAAGTTCATTGCAATTTTATTGTACCCCAAGATCAAGAAATTTCTTCATCTGTTATTTGCATTTATGGATCAGTTTGTACTATCTGTGACATAAATCTTGATTGTGTTACTTTTGCAGTCCTCTGTACTACATTCACAACCAAAATCTACAGTCGGTACCCCTGCATACATTGCTCCTGAAGTTTTGCTTAAGAAAGAATATGATGGCAAGGTATTATGTAACTTCCATCTCCCAAAGAATATTCATAGAACTGTTGTATTAGTGTATTTGGTTCTTATACTTTGCAATTATACGTTGGTCACCACAACCACCTGTTGATTGATTCCATGCAGAGTAGAATCTACCGTCTTAATGTCAGTAAAGACACTATCAATTGTAATTTCTAGGTGTTGCATGGAAAAACATATAATGATATGTTCTGTAACCACTAGGGGTTTAATTGGATTGTCACTGTTTTAGCATCATCCTATTTGTTGAATCTAATCCAGTGAGTAGTAGACTTTGGTTGATAACTGAAGTTGCTATGTTTGGGTGTCAACAGCAGACATGACCTACAACTTACAAGGACGATAGTGTAATACTTTTAACCTTAACTAGAATATTGAGCTCTTTTTCCTGAAGAATAGAACATAACCAAGAGTGAGAAATGAAAAATATTTCTTTTTTCTATTTAAGGCTCATTGCAATCTCTTTCATGGTTCCCCGGTGTGAATTGTGAGTTCTGTCAGAAAATGGACTTTTACCTGTGAGAGCTTTGTGGAGTTCTAAGTAACAAGAATCCCAATTTGATCTTATCGCTGAGGCGATTAATCTCATGACTTATCACTCATATTTTCCTCTTTTTTGAGTATGGTGTCAATATCTTTCTCCAAACTGGATATCATAACGGCCCTCCCTTGTTTTCTCATCACTTTCTCTGTGAATGATTCTTATCGATGGTTGTGGAACATGAAGAAAAGTTTGATTAATGTGAGACTATTATATAATCATGTTTGAAGTATGTTTGCTTTTCATTTATGGTTAGAAAGGATTGTGACTAATGTTATGCTTTATCTCCTACAGATGAAACAAAATTTTAGATTATAATCTGAAAGCACTATTTTCAGGACAGCTATGCATTTTCTTGAATAATTATTCACTAATACATTGCACTGACATTGTCATTCAATTGTGACTCAGATTGCAGATGTGTGGTCCTGTGGGGTGACCTTATACGTCATGTTGGTAGGTGCATATCCTTTTGAGGATCCAGAGGAACCTGCAAATTTCCGAAAGACAATTCAGGTAGGTTACTGCACCCGTGTTTAGGTCACTGCAGTTTGATTTTGTTTAAACTGTTGGATTTTGTTTGCAGAGGATTTTGAAAGTCCAGTACTCAATTCCTGATTATGTTCATATATCTCCCGAATGTCGTCATCTAATCTCAAGGATCTTCGTTGCAGATCCTGCACAGGTCAGCTTATAATTTTAATTAATTTTTCGATCTGAAAATTGTGTGCTTCGTATATACTATTGAATGTTATATATCTAGAAGGGAGCAAGACAGGAATATGTATCTAGACATGAGTTTCTTACAACGGATAAGAAAGAAAAGCTGTAGCTTCATCAGCTACTAGCTAGTACAGATGAATCTTCAAATTAATATTCCATTTCAAGTTAAGCCCCTCTTGTTTGTTTGTTTTTTTATCTATCCTTAAGACTGGTATTGTTTCATGCAGAGAATAACTATTCCTGATATTCGAAGCCACGAGTGGTTTTTGACGAACCTTCCGGCAGATCTGATGGTGGACAGCACAATGAGCAACCAGTTTGAGGAGCCTCATCAGCCAATGCAGAGCGTTGAAGAGATCATGCAGATAATTAGAGAGGCTACAATTCCTGGAGCCAAAACTCAGTCTCTCAACCAGTATCTCACTGGTAGCTTGGACATGGATGATGATGACATGGACGAGGACCCAGAGACAGATTCTGATCTTGATATTGATAGCAGTGGAGAAATAGTTTATGCAATGTAAGTTGCTACCAGACACACTGTAAACTGAATTCTCTCATCAATTTATAACAGATACAGTGGATTGTTCAGTGAGATTGTAAGAGTGTGTATAAGAAAAATATTTCACATATGAAGGGGAAGGATTCTATGATTAAAATCTTATATTCTCAGGATCCACTCTGCTTGTATTTTATGATCTTCAATGATCCGATCTTATCTTTCATTTCTGGTATCTATACAGGTTTCGGTTCCACTCTTCTAAAGTTCTCAGTAAACTTTATCACTATATTACTATACTTCATTAATGGGATCATATTGTAAAATAGTAAAACTTTATTCGATGTTTATTTTACGTTTGGTGTTTATGGTTGGAAAAATTTGATGAATTTGTGCTTAATTTGTTCATAGACAGAGATAGCCGTATAACAGCTTTCTTGTGTAGAATTGCCAAATGACTGGAATCATTGAAGTTCAGTCCAGTGGAAAGTATTTATTAATATTTGTCAGTAATTATTCTTTACTGAAAAACTTGATTAACTAATTTTGATAAGGTCTTTTCAATCATATCTTTTTTAATTTGTAAGACTTAAATCCGGCTTAGAGTTACTTGAAAGGATCCTATTTAGATCAATGTTAAAATGGAAGCTTAATTATTGCCAAGGGAAAAATACTGTTTTCTAAGTGAACAAATTTAAAAAATTACAACAGAAAATTGTTTTCTATTTTCACGTACTATGCAAATGAACAACAGAAGAGATGCACCGAGGGCAACACAAAAATAAGCAATCGGTATGCATGGTATGAGCCAAAGGGTCAATCAGACGCAGATTGAGCAAAATCAACAAAAGCTATGTTAATTAAGGTTGAGATACCAAATCAATCATAAAAGTTTGTTTTCATCACATAGCAGGAGGCAAATCAGCACAGCAAAACACTAAATTGGAAAAGCTTCTACCCATTCTTGCCTATTATATTTTCATAGAGGCTCTCAAGCTTCTTCAGATAATCCTCAAATACATATGCTTCCTCATTCTGATTTTTACCATCCAGCAATTTTGTACCCTTCTGAATTGCCAAACAAATACTCAACCTTGTCGATGAGCTAAGTTTAGAAATCATATCTTTCTTTTTCAAAGCATTATTCATCTTGTAAACGTAGTTATCCAAAGAATTAATTGCTTTGGACTTTCTGAGGAATTTCTTATCTGCCGCCCGAAAATTCTCAGCTTCTTGAATCATTCTCATAATTTCTTCAGGAGACAGTCTCTCTTTGTCATTGGTTATGATAATCTCATTCTTATTTCCAGTGGTTTTTTCCTCAGCTGAAACAGTTAACATACCATTTGAATCTATGGCAAAGAATACATCCAAAGGATGGCCACGAGGAGCAGGAGGAAATCCAGAAAGAACAAAAGAACCTAACAAATTGTTATCACTGGCTCTTGCTCTCTCACCCTCATAAACTTTAATCGACGCGCTATATTCGTTATCGATTGTTGTGTGGAATACTTTTGTCTTGCTCACGGGAATGGTAGTGTTCCTGGGAATGACCACACTCATGACATCTGGCCTTGCGCTTATACCAAGGGATAGAGGTGTAACATCCAGTAGCTCCAAGTTTGGAACATTCTTCATACCTTCATTCAGCAAAGCAGCCTGAACAGCTGCACCATGAGCGACAGCCTCATCAGGGTTGATGCTCTTGCACAGATCCTTTCCATCAAAGAAGTCACGCAGTAGTTCCTGCACTTTTGGAATCCTGGAAGAACCACC